CAGTGAGAATCATGTGTGTGAAGTCATCGTTTTACATATCCTTAAATAAAATTATTGCCGAATGCTAAATTAAGATATAAGCAAGTAGATTCACACCTACATCCGTGTTATCGTGCTGCAGTTCCTAGTCGCTGCAAAGTGCCATGCCTAACTGAAATTGCGAGACCAAATTTCACGAATTAAACGCGCGTATGTTTAGCAAGAGTGTAATGCGAAACAATCAAGAACATGGAACAGCGGCTTAACATAGATTAGTAACAACAGAATGGTAGTGAGATGAGGTGAAGGCGACTAGGTGCAACATGTCAATTTCGACGTTTAGGCTTGCTAAGTTAACAAATCTTGGTACATTACAAGGTAAGACAAGGACGAACGCAAATCAGCAGAGGCAGAACCTCCGCTAGTTGTTTAAAAAATAAAAACAAGCAACAAATGTTGACACGCGTCAAATTGTCGACGATCGCAGAACTCGGTAAATGCCACGAGCGTCAGTGGCCTCGGCAGACACTCCAATAAGGTAAACATTAGTACCTCAATTCTCCACGCTTCACTGCAATGAGCTAACATATTCAGGTTCGAGGCAAAAAGCGTAAAAACACTGTCATCATTTGGAAATCAGAAATAACAAAGCGAAAAAGATGGAATTAAGGGACACAAAAGCGCACAAAATTGGCAGTTATGTAAGTAGGGGGACTATAATGCAGGTATAAGCTTACCTGACGGCTCATAGGCTTGCTTTATATGGGTGCGACTTAAGTCGACTTTAAATATAATTTCAAATTGCGTTTGTTAGCGCTGCTAATTTACCACGCATTTGAACTTTTAACTCAACGATTAACTGTCACATTTAGCGAGATCTGTAGACGCATTTTTACCTCACGCGAACTAAATGCATTGGTTGTACAGGCAACTGCACCACGATAAGACTGCTGTCCATACTGCTGCAAGTTGGCGTCAAATAATGTGAAAGCAAACACTAGAAGAGTACAAAATTAAGAATATTTTAGTTTGCCACCGCCTCCATATTTTCACCGCCACCAATCACCCTCAAGGTAGACACTGTTAATTTGGTTTTCGAGATGGCACAAAGCATTCGACGAAGATGGTGTATTTGCGTCTGACCTCCCAGCAGAAACGTCTACTGAAGCTTGATTGACACATTGTCCATGTGGTGGGTAAGAACAATGGGGTCAAGGCAGTGCTGTACGAATGCCTCAGCACACAATTGAGGCGCTGCGAAAAGACAGTGTCGCAAGATATTCAGCAGTGATAACTGCTCTCCCGTGGTATCGCCTTTCACCACGCTGGCACAATGTTTCGCCTTAACAGGGCTCATCACCTTCTCTAACTTCTTTCACATCCAGCAGCATCTCAGTCGCAAAAATGCACTTATCTGTCTGCGACATTAGCCAACACGCCTACGTGCGATCGTATCTCGCAAACCGATGACTGAATATTTTGATGCTCGCGACAACTTACACAAATCTGATATACTGCTCTTTAACTTGATTCGTGGTGATGAGTGTACACTGATGGAGTTCTGTTTATTTAGGCTCCGGAAATGTCCGAAATAGTGTGCAGGCATGCTCGCAAAAGTTGAATACATCGACATCGCTCAACGAAAGAATACAAGGGTAAATGATTTGTGTGGCAACAAGTAAGAATAAAGGTAAAATCGAGATATTGCAACGACTGAAGGAGAGTTATGGCGTAAGTAGAAGGCAGAAATTAATGTGAATTATCAATGTTCAAGTATTCGCATTCGTTAATAACTATGGCGCAGTGGCGTCAAAACAAGCTAGCCAATGTAGGTTGATCAAAGTGTTAAAATGGGCAAGGCATCTAGGAAGTGAACGTTTTCTGAAACAACAAATCATCACTCGCCAGAAAATTGTCAATAGGCGTTCATACTAATGGGAGCTGAGTAGGACTGCTGTGTCAAATTTCGTCATTGAGTTGCGGCACTGGGAGTCTCCAACACACTCATTAACGCCAAACCCATTAACTGATTCCCCTTTTAACCAACCCCAAAACAGTACAAGTCATGTCCACGTGAGGGTGGAAATCTGTGGCAGTGTGGCATTGCATATGGAAGGGGCAAAATCGCCATTAGGCAAAGGTGGACGATATTGTTACAAACTAGCATCTATTAAGTGTGCACGGATTCAACATGCCCAGAGCAATGATTGACCGGTGATGGATTCCAGCGCAACGGTCTTAACGCTTGCACATAGATTGCACTTCGTTGAGTAGCTAAAGAGTGTGGACAAGGCCATCTGGTGACGTGTATCTCTTTCATCTCCCTGGCAACATCACTGTGTTCGCGTCTAGTTTGTTAGTAAACATTGGGACGCAGCCCCCATGCTGTTCTTGTTTTCGCTATTATGCGATATATACTGTCATCAATATAGAAAATCCACGCTGAGTGGGTCTGGCAAAAGCATAATATTAAACAAACGAAGGACACAGTACACAAGTATAAAGCAGATATAAGTGTGTGTGTGTGTACACTGGCGCGAGTCATGCGCACAAGGCATAAAAGCACATGAAGTCAATGTTGGCGATGTCGGCGGAGGCGACGGCAGCAATGGTGTTGGCAGAGGGGGGAGGGGGAGGCCCAGACATGCTCATACTATATGTCGTGTGAGATGTATAGTGAAGACATGGTCAACGCACCTCGGTTTATAGCCACATGAGCATCAAGCATCAGTGTCTCAAGGGTCTGGTAACCGAGGTGATGACATGCCTTTCGAGCCTGTTGCAGGACCTCACCTAGGCGTTTGAAGGCTCTGAGCAGATGGCCTTCGTCGGCACCAGATTTGTCTGCCACGACTGACAACGCTTCACCACGTGCCCAGGCATAAGTGGCTTCTACAAGCCCTGGATTCACATGAAAGTCGATGTCACTATTATCCACGCCTGTCCATGCCGAGGAATATTTCAGCTGCAAGACATAAGGCAACTATGAGATTCTGCACAAGAGTTGTGAAGAAAGGAGTGAGTCCAAAGAAGAAGGTGAAGACAACGGGTATCTGGCAACATCCGGCAAGCACGCATTCTTAATGAACTCAAAAACATAACCACTGTTAAGCGTGTCACAGCGGTTACCACGTGCACTGAAAATCGGTACTTTACTGCCGTAAGCGTCAGTAGTCACCTCCTGCCACTGCATCTGTCAACAAATGCCTACCTCACTCGCCAGGTCCAGCATCCGCGCTACGACCGACTGCAACCGACCAGAAACAAATGGCCTGCTCCTTTCACATTGGCTGTCGCAAACGAAGCAGGAGAGCACGGCGGCTGCTTCGGCGGGTGTTCGGTGATTTAGCAATCCATGGCAGAGTGCCTCGCACAACAGCACCTCTCTTTGGTCGATTTCTAGAGCTGCCAGGCCTGCAGCACAGAAAACACCACAAATGCTCAATAAAGCGGTAAAACTTCCGACGTCACGCGCAGCTCAGACATTCCCGAGTAATGAAAATTGATGCGTACTTCAAAGCCTAGTGAATGTGGCATTAAGTGAATGCCACATGTGGCACATGCCAAGTTGTGTTCACACGAGATGCAATGACGAACCTTTGCGTGTTAGCTGCGCAGGTCCCCCGATCCTCCACTTCAGGTACCCCAACCTCCTGAGCACAATCACACGAGCCTTGTAGTCACGCAGCTGGGCACAACGACGCGAACACAAGTCACGGATCAGGTGACCGAGCGTGGATTGCGCCTGAACGTGTTTGTGCACGAGACACAGGTGACGGATGGGGTCGGGGCATTGAGGTGGACTCAGCGCCTTCACCAGAGTGGTCAACTCATCCACCGCTGGACACTGAAATGGAAGCAGTGAGCAAGTATATCAGTAATGACGCTGCTGCCGCTGCTGCAAATGGTTACGGCGTAGGGTGTGTATCAACGCCGAACTTGCCAAGCGTGATGAACAATGCGATTCATATCAGTATTCGTGGTACTAGTCGCAAAATTAGTGGTATTAGTAGGAGTAGGTGCAGTAGTAGAGGTGGATGCAGAAGTATCAGCGGCAGTAGTAGTAGTATGGAGGACATGCAAGTGAATGCAAAACACGCGGTTGTGAAGGCGAGGGAAAGGGGACGCACCTGCAGACCGAGAAGTTGCCAAAACGCCACGCCCTTGTCTTGGTCAGAGAGACACTTCTGCGCATACTCAAACAGCCGTTTGCTGGTCGCCATGAGCTGACGGGCCCAGGTCACTGCGCAACGTGAGCCATCAGGCTCCTCGCCCATCCCATTCGTGTTGGCGTGTGAGCACAGATTTTGGTTTCGACGCAACCGCTCGCTCTGTCGCTTCACAGCTCGCGCGTATTTACGCACATTGCCGGCAAATGCCGTAAAAGGAAACACCGCCAATACAGCATGTAGTGGCAGGTACGCGATCGCAGTGATGCGCCATTTGCTTTCCTCCAATGTCTACAACACAAGAAACATGCATGCGCACTGAACACACAAAAGCAACACCACAGCGAAGGCATGCTCTTATAAGCTGCAGCAGCCGCTTCAGCAGTAACATTAATACTGCATTGCGTCAATTTACCTGAGGACAGTAC